CTCCTCATCTTCAAACAGGGTGAAGGCGAAGTCCAGGACATCCCTTGCCAGATTCAGCCTCCAGCAACGAGCTCCTCTCTGAGCTAGCACTGCCAATACGCCTGACACTGTGCCAGCAAAAGATAGCGCATCACATAAACACGTGCATACTGAACTGAGGCATACGTGCTTAGTACCAGCATCATCACCACAACAGCACCGTTGCTTGACAGCGCACCAAAGACCGCACTGACACTGGCACCAAAGACTGTGCTGAAGCCTCTCCATGCCAACATGCTGCTACCATTGGCATGACTCCAACGCTGCCACCAGCACCGACTGTGCCATCAGTAGCACCTATTAGAACAGCACCGCACAAAAGTGCACTGAGGCCCATCCCAGCACCGACTGAACAAACCCATTTACCAACATCATCAGTACATTCAGTCTGTTCTCCTGGATCTCGAGCTCTGTCAGTATCAGTTAGTGAGGCAGATACAGGAGCAAAGTAGATTCTCATCTCAGTACTCCTCATTGACACAAAAACTCTCCCTGGGAGTTGTGCTGAATCAGTCCCACTAATGTGCCTTTCTCCGTTTGATGGTGTGGACACTACTGGCCATACCTACTGCCCCCATATCCGGGTCAATAGCATCTGTGGGATGCATGGTGGGCTTACAAAAGTCACAACACTGCACCCTCAACTCCTGCAAAAAGAGCTGCCAAGCCTTTCCATGCCAGACTTGTGACATGGTGCCCAACTCCCCAGAACAACCACAGTCAGAGAAGGAGCCCATGTCTGAGGAGGGTGACAGATCTCCTCAAAATTAATCTTCATCCTTGGATGAAGCAATCATCCCCATAACTCCAATTCTTACAGATGACCTAAAGTAGTTCCAAGAGTTATTCAAACAGGTAGCCAATGCACAGGAGACAGATTTCCAGGAGGTGCAGGACAAACAACACAGACTTCTCTGCATTCTACAACCATATACGTCAGGGGTCAGGAACCTTTTTTGGGTTGGGCGGGGGGCTGCTGACCCACAGAAAAATCAGTCAAGGGCTGCACACAAGTGAGAAGGGGGGGGGGGGAAACAAAGCCCAAAATGAAAAACAAAAACAAAAAACATCCTCTCTGATGAAAGACACTCCCCACATTTCCTTCACACAGCAGAGCCTTGGTTGGGCCTAGACTAGTAGACTTTATATGCTCCTGCTGCAGTTATTTAGGAGGTGGACAGGATTTACTGTTGAGGTGTCCTCACGGGTCTCTGGCTCCGTTGAAGATGATAACCAGAAGGCTGCTTGCGTGTGTGCTCAGTGATGTGTGCTGTGTCAACTTGTGCACTTAGTCTCCATAGCAGCCCCCAAAGACCACAAACCAGATAAGGATTGAAGGTGCCTGGCCAGATTTATTGTTAAGTGAAGTACAGTAATAGTTGTCAATAGACTCTACTGAACCATTAAGCTCATGTACCCTATAACAATGGATTGACTCAATCAGTGGGAAATTTCCACTGCCCCCTAGGTCATCTAAAGACTGTCCTGCCAAGACGCCATTTTATATACAGGTACAAACAAATCTCACATCATTGCTGACATACCAGGTTGCCACTCTCTGGCGTCAGGTTGCCACCCTCTGATGCTATTTACATACCACCCATAACCCTGTACCTCATGGTATGATTATCCTGTCATCTAGGACGCATTTGTCCCACTCCCCCTTACTGCTTGGGTATCAGTTTTCATGCAGTTGCATGACTATTCAATTGCACAAAATCTTAACATGTCTAGTACACATCACCTCAGGATGGGTTGCAGAGATGACGTTTCTTGACACTTCAAATTACTGCTTCTTGGAGCAGCTGGTTCTGGAACCCACAAGAAGAGAGGTAATTTTTGATTTGGTCCTAAATGGAGCACAGGATTTCATCCAAGAGGTAAATATAACTGGACCTATTGGAAATAGTGACCATCACATAATAAAATTTAACATCCCCGTGGTGCGAAAAATACTTCAGCAGCCCAACACTGTGGCATTTAATTGCAGAAAGGGAGACTACACAAAAATGAGGAGGTTAAACAGAAATTAAAAGGTAAAATGCTAAAAGTAAAATCCCTGCAAGCAGCATGGAGACTTTTCAAAAACACCATAATAGGGGCCCACCTTAAATGTATACCTCAAATTAAAAAACACAGTAAGAGAACCAAAAAAGTGCTACCGTGCCTTGACAACCAAGTAAAAGAAGCAGTCAGCGATAATAACGTGGAAGTTAATTTGACAAAGTTTATGCTCTTTTTTATTTTCCTCACTAGGATTTAAGTGTAAAAATATAATAAGGAAAGCCAAAAAGGAGTTCGAAGAAGAGCTAGCTAAAAACTCAAAGTAATAGCAAAATGTTTTTACTATTTACTGTGTAAGTACTTGAGAAGTGGGAAGCCTACTAAACAACAAGTGGGGCCACTGGACAATCGAGATGCCAAAGGAGCAGTCAGAGATGATAAGGTCATTGCAGAGAAATTAAATGAATTCTTTGCTTTGGTCTTCATGGCTGAGGATGTTAGGGAGAATCACAAACCTGAGTCATTCTTTTTAGGTGACATATCTGAGGAATTGTCCCATATTCTGGTGTCATTAGAGGAGGTTTTGGAACAAATTGATAAACTTAACAGTAACAAATCACCAGGGCCAGATGGTGTTCACCCAAGAGTTTTGGAAGAACTCAAGTGTGAAATTGCAGAACTATTAACTCTGGTTTGTAACCAATCCTTTAAATCAGCTTCTACACCTAATGATTGGAAGATAGCTAATGTTATGCCTGTATTTAAAAAGGGCACTCGGAGCGATCCTGGCAATTACAGGGAAAAGGAGTTGACACTCTAGTTAAGAATAGAATTGCCAGACATGCAGATGAACGTAATTTGTTGGGGGAAAGTCAACATGGTTTCTGTAAAGGGAAATTATGCCTTTACTAATTTGCTACAGTTCCTTGAAGGGGTCAACAAGCATGTGGACAAGGGGGATCCAGTGGATATATTGTACATAGATTTCCAGAAAGTCTTTGACAAGATCCCTTACCAAAGGCTCTTAAGTAAAGTAAGTTGTCATGGGATAAGAGGGAAGGTCCCTTCATAGATTGATAACTGGTTAAAAGACAAGAAACAAAGGATGGGCATAAATGGTCAGTTTTCAAATGGGAGAGGGGTTACTAGTGGTATCTCCCAAAGGTCTGTCCAGGGACAAATACTATTCATCTTATTTATAAATGATCTAGAGAAAGTGGTAAAAGGTGACATGGCAAAATTTGAAGATGATACTAAACTGTTCAAGATAGTTAAGACCAAAGCAGACTGTGAAGAGCTTCAAAAGGATCTCACCAAACTAAGTGATTGGGCAACAAAATGGCAAATGAATTTTAATGTTGATAAATAAAGTAATGCACATTGGAAAAAATAATCCCAGCTATACATACAAAATCATGGGGACTAATATAGCTATAACGTTTTAAGAGAGAGCTCTTGGAGGCATTGTGGATAGTTCTCTGAAAACATCCACTCAGTGTGCAGTGGCAGTCAAAAAAGCAAATAGAATGTTAGGCAGCGCCCCAGCTGCTCTGTCCCAGGCGTCCAGATTCAGCCGCTGTTGAAACTGATCAGCGCTGATTCCAAGGAGCCTGGGACAGAGCAACTCTGCCTGGGCTTCCTGTAGTCAGCGCTGGTCAGTTTCAGCAGCAGCTGAATCTGGAGCCAGGTCCGACTTACATACAGAACAGGCGCCCAGATTCAGCCGCTGTTGAAACTGATCAGCGCTGATTCCAAGGAGCCTGGGACAGAGCAGCTCTGCCTCGGGCTTCCTGTAGTCAGCCGCTGGTCAGTTTCAGCAGCGGCTGAATTGGGGACACCTGGGGTACAATATGTACCAGTTCTGACTTACATACAAAGTCAACTTAAGAACAAACCTACAGTCCCTATCTTGTACGTAACCCGGGGACTGCCTGTATTCCACTGATGGTGAGTGCATGTCTCTTTCACTGGAACTAAAGAATTGTGATCAGTAGTACCACATGGGATGGCTCATGCACCGTTAGGGCACATCTACACTGCAGGGCAAAAGTTGAATTAAGATATGCAACTTCAGCTATGTCAACTGAATAACTAAAGTTGAAATAGCTGAATTCGGCTTTTGACACTGTCTACACAGTCAAAGGAAGGACACTGCAACTTGGGTATAAGTGTTCCTGATTGAAAGATCACTGTGCCAGGCCTCTGATCTTAAAGCACACATTATAAGTTATGGAAAAGTTATGAATTGGAACTGATTCATCTGATTATGACTCATCAATCAGTGTTGCAGTAGCCATTTCATCTGCAGCCACAAACACCTACCCTGAAAAACCTTAACAAAGCCTCATAAAACTTCTGAAGAAAAGTGCATACATAAACATATTGGGAAGAATATAACTTTTCCATAACTTATAATGTGTGCTTTAAATGTGAATTTGCTTCATGACAACATTTAGGTAGATTATTTTAAAATACCTTTCATTTTGTAGTTAATTTTAGTAGGGATGTAAAATCCCATTTAATTGGTTAACCATTTAAACATAGTGTTTAACTGGTTAGCTGATTGAAGGGGAGGCAGGCTGCACAGGGCACAAAGGGGCTGCTGTGAACAGAAGCTGCTGCTCCAGTCAGGCTAGACTGCCTCATCTGCTGCTCCAGCTCCCATGGTTAACCAGTTAACCTGTCCTATCCCTAAATTTCTAATATGGTTGACTCCATAAAGTATTTCAAAACCTCAGATTAATTTCACAATATTTATTTATTTCATAATCAATTTTTCATTGTTTGATTTAGAATGTTGTGATTATGAAAATTTCCTTGAATAAACAGATTTTGTACAAAAATTACTCACATAACAGAACTATTCAGACAAAATTAATAAATCTAGAAGAGAATGATTTGAATTAACTAAGTTATACATCTTATCATGAACCAATGTATCATTTTCATCTTTTCAGTTGATAAGCTCTATGAGCTCAGTAGCAGAGCACTGTCTCCCCTCTTTACTACGCACCTTGTTTGACTGGTACCGGCGTCAAAATGGAACTGAAGATGAATCTTATGAATACAGACCTCGATCTAGTACAAAATCTAAGGGGTAAGTGCTGTTGCATTTCCTTCTCCCTCCCTCCATCCCCCTCCCCACAGTTATCAGCATTTGGTTTATAATGTTTGTTGCTGTAAAATTTTAGTTCTTTTTGGATAAGAAAATATTTCATATTTTGATCTCTTATTTCCTGGATCAGCAGAGGCTAAATTTTATTGGATTTTGCCCTTAATCTAGACAGAAGTAATGTCTTGGATAACTCAATGATTCCTTAAGCTAATTTAGGATCAGTGTTGATGCATTCTTCTGGGGAAGGGACAAGGTATGGAAGAGTAAGAAAAAAAAATCAGGAGTCTCTGGCCTCCTGAAACAATATGAAAAAAAATCCTTCTGTCCTACAACCCTCAAATTCTTTCCTAACCATGCACAATATAGCACATGTGTCTAGCTATTTTTACTTTAAAACAACCAACCACTAATAGGTAACTCTTAATGTATTTGAATTCAGGCCTACAAATAATGTTGTTAATTTTTTGTTTTAGGGATGAGCAACAGCGTGAGAGAGACTATCTACTTGAAAGGAGGGACTTAGCTGTAGATTTCATTTTTTGTTTAGTTTTAGTAGAAGTTCTGAAACAGGTAAAGTGTTTAACTCCTACATGGTGTATGCTTTCACTTAATCTTTTGTTTATAATTGTTAACATTGACATGTTTGTCTACTTCAAGGTTTTTATATAACATTCATGTGAGCACAGGATGAGCATGTGATTTTTCAGTAATTTTTCAGTTGTTCAGAGCTTTCAGCCTCTCCTCCCTGCACTCTCCTTGACTCCTCATTGCTTCCTTACATCTACTCTATTGAAATCTCTTAAAGGGCATCTCTTACACTGCTTCACATTTTGTGCTATGGGGAAGTGACTAGCAGTGCACACCAAAGTTCTGTATTGAAAATCCCCTATATGGACATTGTGGGTGTGATTGTTCTCCACATATTCCCACTTATGGATTATGGTGGCTGATGCACCTTTAGAGTACTCGCATGTCCATCTGATCCTGCCCCCTTAGTGTTCCCAAACATTCTGAGAATAAGGGGATGGTGCTCTGCCCTCTGTGTTCCTTCTAACCACAGCAGCAGACAGATATAAATGTTGCCAGATCTCTTGGATCCAGATTCTTCTGTCAAACTTTAGTGACGTTAGGGCTTGCTTTTTAGTTTGAGAATAGTTAGTATAATTAAAATAAAAATAATTAGTTATGTAGATCAATTGTTATATTTAGTTTAGCTAAATAGTTAAATTCAGTTTTATCTACTGGCTAAATGGCAGATCCAAAGTCAAAGAAATTCAGTTTCAAGAGATGTGCATCTTGTCTGCTAATCTTCATGGAATTCGACACCCATGTCAGATACTTGGCATGTTTTGGTGACTGCCTACTCTTATTTGACTTGTATATCTACAGTATGTTCACTCAGAGAGCACGTAAGGAACATCTGAATAGAGAGAAAGCTCTCTTGCTTCAAGAAGCTTTGATGGCAAGGCTGCTTGGAATTGATAACTTTAAAGGAATTAAAGCACAAGTTAAAAAGATGGCACCTCATACAGCTAGTTTGAAGAAAAATAGTATGCCATCAGACAGGGTTTTGGGGTTGTCCCAATGGTTCCTGACAGGTCCTCTACTCTGTCGGTGGTGATAAACTTTCAGCTGCATGCTTGTGTGCATGTGTGTGTTCCCGGTATATAAAGTGTTAACCCCATGCACTTGAGTCAACACAATAGACCTCTGAGAACCCCTGAAACCAACAAATCAGGCAAGGATGAAATCACATTAACCAGTTTATTGCCAAATGCCGTGCATTAACAGTTGTTAGCAGAAAGTCTCAATGCTAAGCCACTGCACATTCTGTATGTCTTTGGCAATGCACCCACACGTTAAAGTGCATAAAGCATTCCCCAAGATTGGTTGGCGATCTCCCTTTATGGTGCACTTTTATAGATGCATACAAAGACATTACATCACTTTTGACATACCAAGTTGCCACCCTCTGTTACCTAGTTACCACCCCTCACCTTGCAGGGGGGGGGGGGGGCTACTTACTCTCCTTTATGCTGTCAATTTCGACCTGGTCCTGAACCTAAATCTGTATGTACATTCGTTTTTGGAGAGTTGGTTGGTACCAAGATGTTTGTTATTGAGATGTTCTGCTACTCCCTTCTGGCTCACAGCCTTTTCTTATCCTGGTGCCTCCCTATGTTCTTCCATTTTCTACACAATCATGCAATTATTGGTAGGGCCTCTTTCTTGGCTTCCGTGTTACCGAACCAGCGTCTTGCTCACTAGATTCCTGGCCTGTTGCTCTTTTCATGTTACAAGCCTTTATTCAGGCCTGCTGACTCCATGTTCCCGACCCTCAACTTACTACAGAGTAGTAAGTTGGAAGGTCTTATCTTGGCTTTGGTATTGATTTCCAAGATGGCTAGACAATCTGCTCTCAGACTGTGAGCCAGCAATGACAGCTCCAGAGACTCTCTTGGCATTGTCCTCTGAGGCAAGAAGTGAGTGATGAGAAAGGACATTAGATGGTGAACAGAAATGGACGAAAGATAACAAAAGACATAAAGGAACCTATTAGCAGTGTGACATAAGGAGAGTGACAGACAGATCTGGAGCCAGCCAGTATTGGATCTGAAACTGAAAATAAGAGTGTTCATTAGGATAAATCCCTCTATAGATCTCATCTAACAGATCCAAAATTAGTTATAAAATCAACACATTTCTTCAATGCAAATTTACACATTTACATCAGTTATTGTGGTAACTTATTTCTGTATCTCTTTGTGTGTCTACATAAGATTAAAAAAACCCATAGCTGTCCTGGTCAGCTGACGAAACATTGTGGGGCTCACATGCCAGGGCTACTGATAAATCGTGGTATAGATATTTGGGCCTGGGCTGAAGACCAGTTGTCTACACAGTGATTTTTAGTCTCAAAGCCTGAGCTCTGTGAGCTCAAGTGATCTGACTGAGGCCAGCCACAGCTATGCCATGGGTCATTTATTTCTATGTAGATATTTTGTCAGAGCAAATCACCACAAATATCTCTACTTTTATGGTACTAATGCATTTCTAGTACAAGGACCTTCCTTCTGCCCTATGTGCTGCCTCTTGAGTTTTACAAAATGCCTTTCTGTTCTATCACCCCCTTTGAGTAGACAAGGTATTTTTGTTTACTCTTATCTAGATCATTGGTTCCCAGAGAAGCTTTCTTATGGACTTTTATGACAAACATGCTCTCTACGAGAGAGTAGGATTCTTGACCAATATGAAGAAGTCTCAAATCTGTCCTACACAGAGAATGCTCCAGTCTCCAAACTTCAAACTGTATCTATAGTGCAGTAGCAGGAACTGAGGCAGTAGAGGGTATCAGATCCTCTTATATAGGCTTATCAGAATATTCAGGAATGCTATGGGAAGGAGTAGGAAGTCTTAAGTGCTTACAGAGGTACTCCTATTAGAAGGCTCCACTGTTTGGTTGAACCCAAGAGAGAATATGGAAAAGGAACACGACCTACAAGAGGTACAATCAAAATAATATAGACTTTTGCGTACATTGCAGCCTCCAACATCTTTAAAGATCGTACTTCCAATGGATGAGGCCATTATGAACCCTGCCGAAAATATCTGGCAGACCCCATCATCAATTACAGCCATCAATAAAATGAAATACTTCATCTCACCTAAGAGCATGGGCTTTCTTTTTTCACACCCACCACCTAACTCCCTGGTGGTTGACTCAGCCAGACACAAGGCCAAACAGCCGAAACATGAGCTCTACTCCCCCACATAAAGAGCATAAGAAGGTTGACATCATGGGCAGAAAGAGATACTCATCTGCAATCTTACTATGAAGAGTGGTTAACTATACTGCCATAATCACCGACTATGATTATACGAACTACTTCAAACTTCAAGAGCTCCTCCAGTTCCTGCCGAAGCACAAAAGGCCAACACTCCTGAGCAGGGCTCGACAAATAATGCAGTCTACTCGCCTGTGGCAAGTAGATTGCAACCCAGAAGAGCCGGGTTTGGGCGATCTGCACATGCGCAGAACGATCTGTGCATGCGCAGATCGCTGGACAGCGCGGCTGGCGAGCGGGGCTCGCTGCGGTTTGGCGAGCCCTGCTCCTGAGTATTATGCAGGAGGGGCATACTCTCTCACACATGGTGTTACAATCCACTGTAGACGTAGCCTATTCCGCAGTATGCACCACTGTGACTGCCATTGTCATGTACAGGCAGTCCCCGAGTTATGCGGATCCGACTTATGTCGGATCCGCACTTACGAACGGGGCTTTCTCGCCCCGGAGCTCGCAGTCAGCGGGACCACCCAGAGCACAGCGGTCCCACCACCTCGACCTCCAGGGCGAGAAAAGCTGCTCCGAGTGCCCCAGGTCTGCTGGGGACCGTCTCCAGCAAACCAGGGACACCTGGAGCAAAGCCGGGGAGGCGGAGGGGTCCCGCGCCTCTGAGGCTTTGCTCTGGCAGACCAGGCTTTTGTTGTGGATCCTGGGGTAGAGCAGCTGGGGTGCTGCCGTGTTGGTCCTGCAGGGACCTACCCGGCAGCCCAGCTGTTGTGTCCCATGCTCGAGATTCAGCTGCTGTTGAAACTGATCAGTGGCTGATTCCAGGAAGCTGGGGGAAGAGCAATTCTGCCTCCAGCTTCCTGTAGTCAGCCCCTGGTCAGTTTCAGCAGCAGCGGCTGAATCTGGAGCCAGTTCCAACTTACATACAAATTCAACTTAAGAACAAACCTATAGTCCCTATCTTGTACGTAACCCAGGGACTGCCTGTATAGGGCTTCTTGGCTCCAGGCATCCGGTGTTCCCAGGAAGCTACAGCACAAAGTCGAAGACCTCCCATTTGATAAAACTAATCTTTTTGCTGCCAAAATGGATGAGGTCTTACACTTTATAAAAGACTCCCAGATAACACTGAGAACTCTTGGCACGTATACACCACCTAATCAGAGGTTCAGATACAACACCTATCCTAGAGGACAATACAGACAGCAAACTTGGTACGATTTTAGACAAAAACCCAGACCTCAGTGGTGCGACCTCAGTGCCAACAACAGCCCACAACATCCTAGCCTTCATCATCTAAGCAGCAAATTTGAAGATTTGGTCAGGAGTCAGACACCACTGCTATGGCCACATCACCAACTGGACAACCACAGTTGTACAGTCACTGTCTACGGCCCTTTTTACACCCGTGGGTACAAATAACATCAGACAGATGAGTACTAGAGCTCATCAATGTGAGCTACTCCATCCTCTTCATTGCTTTCCCCCTAACTCATTTCCCCCTCTTCCCCCCCCGCCTCATCCCTCTTCTGGGGCCCCTCTTATGATATCCTCCTCCAACTGGAAGTCCAACACCTTCTACATATAGGAGCAATAGAACCAGTGCCAACAGCCTTTCAAAGTAGGGAATTTTATTCAACATACTTCTTAACTCAAAAGAAAACTGGCGGGTGGAAACCCATTTTAGATCTGAGGCTCAACAGATACGTAACATACAGAAGGTTCAAGATGGTGACAATAGCAACAGTTAGCAACAATTATTCCAGCCTTGGATCAGAGAGATTGGCGCTCGGCTCTCAACATTCAAGGCACATGCTTCCACATAACGAAACGTTTCTCTCACAGACTTTTCCTACACTTTATGGTGGGAGACCAACACTACCAATATCAAGTTCTGCCAGTCAGCCTTTTGACAGCCCCCAGAGTTTTCTCCAAGACTCCGGCAGTTGTTACGGTGCACATACGCCTCCAAAGTGTGATAATATTTCCATACTTTGACCACTGCCTAATAAAGGGTGTATCATTTCAAGAAACACTGACCAGGTTAACAAAACCATCAACCTCCTACTCAAACTCAGTTTTCACATAAACTACTACTAATATATGTTCTAACCCACTCAGACTCTGAAGTCCATAGGAGCATGTATCAAATGTTACCCAAGCACATTCAAAGCCCTCCATTACCTCATAATGTTGGCATGCGCAACCCCAACGACAACAGTGTGCAAACGCCTCAAAATTCTGGGTTACATGGCTGCAACTACCTATGTGGTGCAATAGGCCAGGCTACACATGAGGTGCCTCAAGGCCTGGCTGGCTACTCCCTTCTCCAAAGCCATCAGTATTCCACCATGCATCCTCAACTCTCTGGAGTGGTGGATGCATCCAACCAACATACTACGGGGGGGTATTCTTTAAAAAACCAACCCCCATGGTTGCCATCACTACAGATGCATCCCTTATGGGATGTGGGGGCCCACTTGGGACACCACACTGTACAAGACAAATGGTCATTCAGCAAACAAACACTACAAATCAACCTATTAGAACTCAGGGCAATCTGTTATGCATGCCGTCATTTCATACAGTACATATCTCATAAGACAGTCAATGTCGTAACAGACAATACCACATGCATGTACTATATCAATCAGCAGGGTGGGGCCCAATCTACTTCCTGTTTATAGAAGCACTGAGACACACCATATCCCCCCATAGCCACTTACCTCCTGGGGGTACTCAACATGATGGCAGACACCCTCAGCCGTATCTTCCCAGATCATCACAAATGGAAAATAGACTCTTGAGCCCTCAAGGAAATATTCCTTAAATGGGGACAGTCGGACATAGACCTATTTGCAACCAGAGCAAATGCTATCTATTCTGCTCTAGAGCAGCCCTAGTAAAGGGATCCCTAGGAGACACTTTCTCCCTGAAATGAGACACAATCCTCTTATACACGTTACCACTGATTCCCTCAATGCACAGAATTATCATGAAAATCAGGCAAGAACACCCCTGGGACAAGTTTTACTTTGTACAGGAACTGCACGAGAGAGAGTTTGTTCCATATTTTTCTATGGATGGTCTGTTGGTATACTGCAATAACATTGCCGGATTAATAGAAAGCTTGTGGACAGCTTACCAACCAGGTGACTGGAGACTGTTTATTGACTCCTCAAAGACAAGCCTAAAAGGTGTTCTACTTTATAATAGCAATCAGTATGCCTTTGTGCCTATTGACCATTCTGTCCACTTAAGAGAAACCTATGAAAATCTTGAGCTTCTCCTTGAAAAGGTGCATTATCTAGAGCATGAATGAACTTTCTGTGGTGCTCTGAAGGTGCTGTGTATGCTGCTTGGTCAACAGGCTAGTTACACAAAAATGCCATGCTTTTTATGCGAATGGGATGGCAGAGCAAGAGATCTTCATTGGGTAAGGAAACAGTGGACACAAAGAGAGAGTCTGACTCCTGGCTCCAAGAATATAATTCATGAAAAACTGATTGAGCCCAACAATGTACTGCTACCTCCACTCCACATCAAGCTAGGTTTGATTAAACAATTTGTTAAAGCATTAAACGAGAATATTTGCAACAACTTCCCAGCTTTGAGTTTCCAAAAAGTTAAGGAGGGTGTCTTTGTGGGTCCTCAGATCAGGAAACTGATTCTTGATACTTACTTTGAAGAAACAATGAATGACACAGAGAAAGACACTTGTATGACCTTTCTGAAGGCCATACAAAACTTCCTAGGGAATAACAAAGATCCTGATTATAAAAACATTGTTGGCAACATGCTAAACAAATTTGAAAGACTTGGATGCAACTTGAGCTTGAAAGTTCTTTTTTTGCACTCCCATCTGGATTATTTTCCTGAAAATCTTGGAAGTGTCAGTGAAGAGCAAGGGGAAAGATTTCATCAGGATATCAAGACGATGGAAAAGAGATATCAAGGATGCTGGGATGTCAACATAATGTTTGATTACTGCTGGTCCCTGAAAAGAGAGACCGATAGTGATATGCATAAAAAGTTGTCAAAAAAGCATCGATTCGGTCACATCTAATCATTTAAAATTACTCAGTTGTTAAATATCACACTTTGCTTACTTTGTGGTAAGTCTTTAAACAAGGACTTACCACAGATCTTCTAAAAGAACTATAACTTACTATTTACCAAGTTTTTAATGCATAAGGTGGAATAAAAAGCATGAAAAATGTCCATTTTTTTATTTGTGAAAAATCCTTACATGATAGAGCAAAATGGATGCCATTTTTTTGAAATCAGCATAGCAAAATTATGTGAAGTCACCAATTTTTATCAAAACAGCTGAAACTTTGTTTCAATTTGCAGACCAGTGTTACGTTCGTCTCCTTTCCCTGACATGGATATCTTTATCCTACATTAGAGGTTAAATTTGGAATAATCAGACTACATCTGTTAGTGAGGTCTGAAATGAAACCATTAATCAAGACTCATAGCTATTATGATATGCACATACTGATATGATTACTTAATTGTTGATTGCCAGTTTGATTGCTTAAACTTAGTAGTCAAATTATTTAAGAAAATGTCACATATCACTGATGTAGAGTTACAGAGATTGATATCTAGGCAAAGAACTAGAGATGTAAATGACTAGTTGATTCGACTAGTTACTTCCTCTACCTTGCAACCCCTATCAGAGAGAGGCAGCAAGGGGGAGCAGGACCTGGTGCTGGTGGAAGCTGGGAGCAGGGAATGAGCGGGGGGCTCAAGCAGTTGGCCCCACACTCCCCGCTGGTCCCACACTCCCAGCTTCTGAAATGTACAATAGCCCTCTGTTCCCCATGTGTGCTTTGCTTTTGAAATGCCCCAGGGGAGCTTTTGTACATTTCAAAAGCAGGGAGCACAAGGCCCTTGGGGGAATGCTTGAGTCACCTGCTGGCCCCATGCTCCCCTGGAACTTCTGCCTTTGAAATGTAGCAAGAGCTAGCAGGGCATTTGCATTGACTATTCAATTAGTTGATTAATCTAAATTTAATATCCTTACAAAGAACCTCACCTGATTTCAATTGTTATATCTCCACTGAAATCAGTGAGATTGTGGCAGTGCGCCATTTCAGGATCTGCTCCCTAATCTATTCCTGAATATTTCTATGGCGCACAAGGCTGTGGTTTTTATGTACTAATACTGTATAATAAAATGAAATGATACCTGTATTTCAGATACCTGTTCATCCAGTGCCAGATTCTTTAGTACATGAAGTTCTGAATTTGGCTTTTAAGCACTTTAAACACAAGGAAGGGTAAGTCAAGTTTAATTCATCGACATAATGTTTTTTTGTTTCAATTCCCCGTGCTTTATCGTCAGGCTGTTTTCAGACTGACTGCATAGGGTTTCTGTTTTGATTGCCTCACATTTAATGGATTTGGGGATAATACACAAAAAATATAATTAATATCAATTTTTGAAGTTAAAAAGCATGGCTGTTTAACAAAGGCAGTTGTGTGCAACAGAAGTCTTACCTTGTTTGTCTTTAAAATATACAGCTTAATTTGCACAATAAGGGCAAGAAAAATTAAAGCAAGTGGTCAGTTATATAAATTCCCTTCTCATGTAGAGTAATGTATACAGTTTCCCTTTAAAATGTACTGCATCCAGCAAGCCTACCAAAATTAACTTACACCAGTTCAGAGGTTATCTATTTTTAAACTTAAAAACAGAATATGAGTCTGAAAGAGTTTGCAGTGCATTTTATGCCCCCTTTGCATTGTCTTTCTGTTCATATCGGTAATTCCTTGTTGCATGAAGTACCTTTTATGTTTTGTGTACTGCTGAGCACCCTGTTGATACTTTGAAATACTTTGTTAAAGCACATCCTTATTCTTTTCTTTTTTCTCCTCCTTAGATATTCAGGAACCAATACTGGGAATGTGCATATTATTGCAGATTTATATGCGGAAGTGATAGGGGTTCTTGCTCAATCAAAGTAAGCTTGATATTTCACCTCTTCCTTTTCCCTCTTACCTTTTGGAGAGAAAAAAAACCTTTCTTCCCTGACTTGCTTACCGGACATTTATTAATAATGGTAGCAAGCTTTTCCATAGTTGTACATAAGCAAATCAAATACTAATCAAGCATTTGACATAGTAGACACATTTTTGTATATCATTCCTGTAGTCTAACAAAATAAGAAATGCTGTCCTTTCTTGAAACAAAAATTATGCACTTTTCTATTGCAGAGTGCTTCCTTCAGTATGGAACTTTGCTCTCTTATAATTAGTACCATTCCAAGTCTGTCCAATGAGGATTGGAAGAAAATTGAGAGTTTTTAATGAGTCATTACTACAGATTGACTCTCTCTAGTCCAGCACACTCTGGTCTGGCAAAATCCATGGTCCAGCATGATTTTAATTAGCCGGATGCCCATTTAGCGTGCCTGTGGCCAAGTTTCCCATAGTCCCATAAAGTTTGTTTACAGCCACCAGTGCTGGCTCTCAGTGTTCTGTGCTGTGATTTAGCTCTAATTTACCCCAGATGTCTTCTGGGAGCCCAGTAAGCAGTGATACTGTTGGTAATGCATGTAGACAATATTGACCTCTTGTGCTTCAGCAAATTCTTTGGTTCGGCACAGGTCAGGTCCAAAGGGTTCCAGGCAAGAAAGATTTAACCAATAATGTTAACGGCTCGTAACTTCATGAGATGCATATTGTGCATTTCTAACATTTAAATGTCCTCTCCATAAAATCTTAAATATATTCAGCTCTAGTAAGTTTAATTTTAGAAAAAGTTATGTCCATGTGCAGAATTAATTTTATGTGCAACAATATGGAGATTATATACAAAACATCACCTCCTTGTTGGAGTACATATTAAAATTCATTCTGCACTTGGATAGTCTGTGGCAGGTGTGGGACAGAGGAGTGTGGGAGGTTACTCGGGGCTGACGCAAAGCATGGAGCTGCAGAGATGAAGGCTGTGGCTGTGGGTGAAGGATCTAGGATGGGGGTAGGAGTGAGAGATTTTGGGTTTAGGTTCCCCTGGGAGTGGGCTCCAAGTTCTCTCTCACTTTAGCAGCTCCAGGCCAGGTGAGAGGAGCCTTTGTTAGCTGCAGCAGCTCTGGTGAGGCTGAGTTGTCTGTGGCAGATCCATGCTGGTATGGAGAGTGGGGGAGAACTTTGTGAAGATGCATTTCCCCCAGCCACAGCAGCTCTGTTCAGGGGCTGAAGGAGTATGCCCCTCCCGGTGCTGTGGCAGCTCCTTGTACAGCAGCCCTAAGTCTCTGAATGGGATTTATTAGGCAGCTGCACAGCTTATAGGGAACCCTACTTCCAATGCATTTGGTATTATAGGTGCATTTGGGATACTTGTGTATTCAGACTTTATGCTCTGGCTTGCCTAACTGCTCCATATTTGGAGCCTGTAAGATATTGAAATGTATAGGTATCTTCTCTTTCTGGGCAAGCTTTTTGTAAATTTCATTATATTTCCTCCTCCAACGTATAGAGTAGATACAACTCAAATGGGACAAAAACGCTATCTATACACTGTTAGAGACATGCCTCAGGTATTTTTCTGCAAAGGCATGTGGAGATAATTGAAATTTTAAAGAAGCTAAGTGCACATTTGTTCAGCAAAACTATGCTTCAGGAAGATTTTTTTTTAAGAATGCTGCCATGTTTTAGGTATATAGAAGGAATAGGTAGAAAGTTGATGTCCCTCTGTTATCGTTCTGCCTACGCGTGAACTGTAATAACTAAATCGCCATGATATCCAGACACCAAATACGAGAAATAAAATCTGTGTCCACCTTAACTGTCTCTTTAACTATAGCTATTATATAATTGTCAGATAAAGTTACTGAAATATGTTTTAAATAGAAATAATATAAATTAAACTAAATATCAATGTTTCCTATGCATGTCAATTATCCAGGTTTCAGGCTGTTAGGAAGAAGTTTGTCACTGAATTAAAGGAACTGCGACAGAAGGAACAGAGTCCTCATGTAGTACAGAGTATCATCAGCTTAATTATGGGGATGAAGTTTTTCAGAGTAAAAATGTATCCTGTAGAAGACTTTGAAGCATCATTTCAGTTCATGCAGGTAAATGTGCACCATCTTGAACTAAAGCAGACATCATTATGAGACTAGATTTAGATGGTATGTATCTTTATTAACAAGGTTCCATTGTCTTTGAGTGCTTGCATATGTGCACTAGACTGTACGGGTGATGTGAGAGCGCCTTGAGCATCAGTGCTGCAGACTTTTTACCTAGCAGATTCTTAAGGAGAGGCCTCACCCATTGCTGAGCTTATTGTGCTGTGAGTAAGGCAGCATTTCTCAAACTGTGGGTTGCGACCCCTGGGGGGGATCGCGAGCAACTTAGAGGGAGGTCGCAGCTGGATTTTTCACTTGCGACCCCTCTCTCCCGGGCCGCGAAGAGCGGAGCATCAGTGCTGCAGACTTTTTACCTAGCAGATTCTTAAGGAGAGGCCTCACCCATTGCTGAGCTTATTGTGCTGTGAGTAAGGCAGCATTTCTCAAACTGTGGGTTGCGACCCCTGGGGGGGATCGCGAGCAACTTAGAGGGAGGTCGCAGCTGGATTTTTCACTTGCGACCCCTCTCTCCCGGGCCGCGAAGAGCG